TAAAAAAAAGCTAAACAAAAAGGTGCTACTTTTGAAGCAACATCAAAGAAAAGATAAAATATAAATCTGGGCAGTGACATACGTCTAGACATCATTATGTGCTTAAAGAAAACAACAAAAACAGTGCTAAAAGAAACCAATCAATCCTCACACTTCATCTTCAAAATCATGCCAGAAATGCTTCCCTCCTGGTATAAGAGCTGGTAGAACATGGAAGGGTAGGAAGGGTGTGGCCCAGCCACTCAGGCTCTGAACTCAGGCCTGGGAGCCTGATAAGGGTGCCTTTTATTTTTCTGTAAACCCCCACCTCCAAGTACAAATGACTAATCAAAAGTGTAACCATAGGCCTGGCACAGTGGCTCATGTCTGTAATCCCAGCACTTTGGGAGGCCGAGGTGGGTGGATTACCAGAGATCAGGAGTTGGAGATCAGCCAGGCCAACATGGTGAAATCCCATCTTTACTAAAAATACAAAAAGTTAGTTGGGTGTGGTGGCAAGCAACTGTAATCCCAGCTACTTGGGAGGCTGAGGCAGGAGAATCACTTGAACCCAGGAGGCAGAGGTTGCAGTGAGCCGAGATCATGCCATTGCACTCAGTAGCCTGGGCAACAAGAGCGAAGCTTCGTCTCAAGCAAAACAAAACAAACCCAAAGTGTAACCATATGTAGAAAAAAAATGACTTGGCTGTCCCTCTGGGTCCTATCTTAATAGAAAAGTATGGTCGTGTGCCCTGGGGATTTGGTCATTTATTTGGAAAATACTCCTGATGTATTATGATAACTCGCAAATCATCTTCACCGCCAAAATCTCATTTTGTAACAACCTCATGTAGTAGAAAATGTGTGCATGATCCTTATTTCACAGATGAAAACACCAAGAGTCAGAAATGAAATTATTTGCCCTGTTACACAGCTAGCAAGTGATGGAATAAGACTGCAAACCTAGGACTTCTAGTCTAGTGATTGTCCCAGGAGGCCACATCACATGGAATATTACACAGGAACATTTTTGGTAACCTCCGAAAGGGCTAAATGGAGCTCCTTTCAGTCTGGGCCCTGATATACACTTAATGGAGTAAGAGAATGGTTAAGAAAGTATGATTCACAAACATCCATCTCAGATGTCTGATCATGTAACAAAATAGTTCCATCATTAAAGGTGAGCTGAGGAGAGAACATATACCTGGATTTATGTATTAATAGCATTGAATGTTCTCAAGAATTTAATAAATGAGACAACTAGAATTCAAGGGTAGTGACTTCCTGGGCAAAGGGAACTTAGTGAGTTTCCTCTCGCAACCCCTGAGCTGATTTCATCATTCCCTCCCTCAGTTCAACCATAGTATTATATGTTAGGTGGTGGCATTGTTACAGTACCTGGCCTTTGGGAGCTTGCAAGCAATTTTTCTGGGAGATCTCTGACAAACAGTTTGGCTAGGAAATGAGCTCCTTTCTTCTTCATAGGCAAAGGTGATCTGCTTTATGCTGAGGCCAGGAGGGTCTCATTAAGAGTTACGTCGGGCCGGGCGCAGTGGCTCACGCCTGTAATCCCAGCACTTTGGGAGGCCGAGGCGGGTGGATCACGAGGTCAAGAGATCGAGACCATCCTGGTCAACATGGTGAAGCCCCGTCTCTACTAAAAATACAGAAAATCAGCTGGGCATGGTGGCGCGTGCCTGTAATCCCAGCTACTCAGGAGGCTGAGGCAGGAGAATTGCCTGAACCCAGGAGGCAGAGGCTACGGTGAGCCAAGATCGCACCACTGCACTCCAGCCTGGGTAACAACAGCGAAACTCCGTCTCAAAAAAAAAAAAAAAAAAAAAGAGTTACGTCACAGTAGGGTTTGGAGAAAACCCTGTAAGTTCAGGCCTGAGCTGCTGCCTCATGAGGGCTTTTTACTTCCCTAGAGGACTACTGGAGGATGAGCAAAACCTCATTGGCATAGCACCAGGCCCTTCTGTGCTCCCATCTCCCATGTTTCCCACAGTTGTTAGTGCAGTCAACACCCTGATCTTCCTTACTCACGTCTGTAGGAACCCACTCCCTCCAAATAGCAAGCAAGCCCACAAGCAAACCAGTAACATAATCCAGCTCACTCCCCAGTGTCTCCTTTAACTCACTTAGGACACATCAGAAGCTTACAAGTGGATCACTTCACTAGAAATTTTGTTAGTCATCAAAATCATAGACATCAGTTTGATTATGGAGAATTAGAGAATCTTCAGCTAGATGAGGAAACCCAGTAACAAACTGCTGTTGAAGAATCTTTTAAAAGTAAACATCTGCAGGCTGTAGACATTTCTGTATCTTTGTACCTGCAAGTGCCATCTTTAGGGGTTTACTACATGAAATCATCATTTCAGTAACTTGATGTGCATAGTAATAAAAGTAATTCGGTCTGTTAATTTTTGATTGAAAATAAAGGTGGAGCTTCTGGCCAGGTGCAGTGACTCACACCTGTAATTCCAGCACTTTGGGAGGCTGAACCGGGTGGATCACCTGAGGTGAGGAGTTCAAGACCAGCCTGGCCAACATGGTGAAACCCTATCTCTACTAAAAATACAAAAAATTAGTTGGACGTGGTGTCAGGCAACTGTAATCCCAGCTACTTGGGAGGCTGAGGCAGAATTGCTTGAACCCGAGAGGCAGAGGTTGCAGTGAGCTGAGATTATGCCGCTGCCCTCCAGCCTGGGCAAAATAGCAAAACTCTCAAAAAAAAAAAAGAAAAAAGATGGGGCTTCTAAAAAAATGGACTACTACCAACTGACAGAATAAAGCAGAACTCATAATCTTGAATCAGTCAGGGTAATGACTTCTGCCTTCAACTGCGCCATTTAATTGGACACATGTCAAACTATGATGACCAATGAGAAGAACCCCCAAAGCTACCCTCCATCACTAGCGGAAGGCATGCCACAGCTAAGATCTGCTGTGCCGAACTTATGCAGGCTCCCTGTCAGCTAATGCATAAACTGAACTCAAGACAGACAAAAGCCACACTCAAGGGAAGTGCTGCCACATTAAGGTCACCATGAGGCTCAGCTTGGAAAACAGTTTCAAAAACCTTGTAATCTGCAGGGCGCAGTGGCTCATGCCTATAATCCCAGCACTTTGGGAGGCTGAGGCGGGTGGATCATGAGGTCAAGAGAGACCATCCTGGTCAACATGGTGAAACCCTGTCTCTACTAAAAATACAAAAATTAGCTGGGCATGGTGGAGTGCCCCTATAGTCCCAGCTACTCGGGAGGCTGAGGCAGAATTGCTTGAACCCAGGAGGCGGAGGTTGCGGTGAGCCGAGATCGCGTCATTGCACTCCAGCCTGGGTAACATGAGTGAAACTCTGTCTCAAAAAAACAAAAACAAAAAACAACAAAAAAACTTGTAATCTGCTGGAAAGCAGTCTAGGGTGGGAGTGGGGAAGGTGTCAGACTGATCCCCAGTGATGATGGGCTGCAGGGCTTGACTTGTAGAATCTGGGAACACAGTAGCCCTGGAGTCACACTTCCTCACACCATCAGAGCTCAGACTGTGGCATCCTTTTATGTACCCGCAGTAACCACCAGCATTACTTTCTCAGATGACCGATACTGACTAAGGGCCATGTATGTTGTTCTGGTAGGAGACAGCTTGATAATCTGCAATGGCAGAATTCTTCCCTCCCACCAGACACAGAGTTGGCTTCTGGCCAAGACAACTCTGAGGGAGGCAGGGTAGCCTGTGAAAGGAGCTCTAGTGTGAAAAGTAGAAAACATGGATCCTGGCCAGGCATGGTGGCTCACGCCTCTAATCTCAGCAGTTTGGGAGGCCGAGGCAGGTGGATCACAAGGTCAGGAGTTCAAGATCAGTCTGGCCAACATGATGAAACCCCATCTCTACTAAAAATACAAAAATTAGCTGGGTATGGTGGCATGTGCCTATAGTCCCAGCTGAGGCAGGAGAATTGCTTGAACCCGGGATGCAGAGGTTGCAGTGAGCCGATATTGTGCCACTGCACTCCAGCCTGGGTGACAGAGTGAGACTCTGTCTCAAAACCAAAACCAAAACCAAACAAACACATAGATCCTACTCCGGTCTGCCTCTGACCAACTGCATTAAGCTGGGTGAGAAATTCTCCATCTGGGTTCGGCTTCCTTATCTATAAAATGATGGGATTAGCCTATATCACCATGGCCCCTTCAACTTCAAATCATCAGTGTTTCATGGATTCCACGAAATTAGCTAATGTAGCCCGCCTGCTGGAAAGATGAAGTATGGAGTTGCCTAACAGACTGCTCAAAACAAAAGTAAAGAATGAAAAGAAAAGAAATGAGAGCAGGAGAGTCACTTCAACTTGAAACCCACTTTGGTAATAAGAATAGCGAAGTAATGAGTTCAGACAGTTTGAGAGGAATAGAAAAGTACAAACTGAAAAACAGGAAATCCATTCTTGGCTGGCTGTCAAAAGCCATGCGCTGGTGAACATTTAGGTTCATTTTAATTTTTAATTTCTTAAGAGTCATAAAGCCCTCAAATTAGTGTATCAAGATTCCTGCTACTGAAACACAAAATTATTGTCTCCTGCCCCTGGCTTGTTAATCACTCTTGACTTCTTCAGTCCTGTGTCTGAGGCTGTGATGGTTCCATCTCAGCAACATTTGCTGCCTTGTTCTATGGTTAGCAGATATCCTTGACCTGCTCACCATGTTACCACTTTCAAGGACAAAGTTCAAACACAGCTTTATATACAGCTCTATGTAAACTAATCATATCTCTCCAAATAGCTTGTGAACTTGCAGGGACTCCAACGTACACATCTTTCATCTCTCCAGTGCCTTGGCTACAGTAGGCACTTAAATGGTTACTGAATGCTTAAAAAAAGCACTTACCAGTCTTTTCAGGCATCTCAAACTACATGGTAGGGTTTATATATCCAACCTACGTTTAGACTACAAAATTATTTTTTAAAAGGCATTATGTAGCAATAGAAAAGTTTATAAAAATGAACTTTACAAACACTGAACTCAGATTTCCATAGAAAGGGAAAAAATATTTATTCCAAAAGATGGCAGAAATAAGAAATTCATCCTGAAAACAGAGTCTGGTGTGATTCTGTCGAGAAGGCTCTTCCCTCTGAACGTGCTCTCCTACTGACCACCCCACTGGAGGCTTGTTTGTCTTGCAGCAGTTTCTAAACACTTCACTGATTCCCATATGAGAAGGCAGGAGCCATCTTCAAATCCACAGATTCCAAGGAGAGAGTAATGGATCTCTCAGAAGAACAGCATCTTTTGTCTCAGAAAAGTGCATAATCATTTTGTGGAGTCGACACAGTTCAAGTTAAGTAGGCACATAATTCACCAAAGTGTAAAAAAGGTGAAGGAAAACACACTGGATTGTAGAATAAGGCATTCAAATGTGGTGTTAACGTTTAAGGCAGCTGATGCCCAAAGTAGGCAAGTCAAGAAAGGTGGTCTGGTTTGGAGGTGATTTTGCATCTAGAAGGCATTTTCTTCTTGTGACCTGCAAAACAAAACCATTCTGGTAACTGATCCTCATACATTCAATCCTCAGGAAGGCAAAAAGTTAACATCAAGAAAGTTAACCAGGCCAATATTTAAAAATGTGTAGATGCTGAACAATAAACGAAACACAGGATCATCAGTCTGATGCACGTTTGGCCAGGTTTTGTAGGGCTGTGGCAAAAGGTCCAGTAATCAAGGACACTGCTGAACTGAGGAACACAAGTAACAGTCTATGTCACAGGATGCAGGAAGAGTGAAGCTGACTGAGATTGATGGTGCTGGAATCTAATGAATTCATTACGGTTTCAAGAGTCTGTATTTTTCCCTTCCCTCCGACAGCATGGAAGCAAGGTTCCCAAAGGCATGGCGAGCTCTGCTCTGGGGCCAGGCTCCTAGGGAGCAGGCTCCTTGCACTGGTCTTGTACTCAAGGCTGTCTTCTAGCTTGCTCCCCATTCTGGCTATCTCAAGTGTAGGTGACAAATGATACTTTTCTTTTTCTATTGCTTAAACTCAATGCCATCTTTTATTTATTTATTTTTTTGACACAGGGTCTTGCTGTCACCCAGGCTGGAGTGCAGTGGTGTGATCTCGGCTCACTGCAGCCTCACTCCCAAGCCCAAATGATCCTCCCACCTCAGCCTCCCAAGTAGCTGGAACTACAGGGGCAGGCCAACACACCTGGCTAATTTTTATATTTTTTGTAGAGATGGGGTTTCATCACGTTGCCAAGGTTGGGTTCTAACTCCTGGGCTAAAGCATTCTGCTCATCCTGGCCTCCCAAAGTGCTGGGATTACAGGTATGAGCTATCATGCCCTAATCAGATTATATTTACAATGTACTAGGAAAACAACATCAGGCCAAGGAGTGGCAATTACTAGAGCTACTTGTTTCTTGTCGTTTGAAAGGCTCATAAAATCTTTCACTTAATCTAGCGATAATTTTCTGCTCTCTTCCTTAGGCCAGCAGAACAGCTGCTCTGTACAAATATCAGTACCAGGCAGATTACAAATTTAGGCCAGGCATAGTGGCTCACTCCTGTAATCTCAGCACTTTGGGAGGCCAAGGCGGGAGGATCGCCTGAGGCCAGTCTGGGCAACATGAGACTCTCTACAGTATGATGACACACACCAGCAGTCCCAACTACTCCAGAGGCTGAGGTGACAGGATCACTAGAGCCCAGGAGTTTCAGGTTACAGTGAGCTATGATTATGCCATTCTGCACTCCAGCCTAGGTGACAGAGTTTGACCCTATCTCTAATCATCAAATAATATTTTTGTTAAAAATTGTCAATGCTGCCAGGCGTGGTGGCTCAAGCCTGTAATCCCAGCACTTTGGGAGGCCGAGGCGGGTGGATCACGAGGTCAAGAGATCGAGACCATCCTGGTCAACATGGTGAAGCCCCGTCTCTACTAAAAATACAAAACATTAGCTGGGCATGGTGGCGCGTGCCTGTAATCCCAGCTACTCAGGAGGTTGAGGCAGGAGAATTGCCTGAACCCAGGAGGCGGAGGTTGCGGTGAGCTGAGATCGCGCCATTGCACTCCAGCCTGGGTAACAAGAGTGAAACTCCGTCTCAAAAAAAATAAAAATAAAAAATAAAAAATTGCCAATGCTGACTATATTGCAAGTCATCATGGCGGGGATTGGGAAAAGCTTTCAATTAACAATAATCATGCCTTGGATAAACCTCATTGGCTACAATACTGCCACTGCGCAAAGCTAATAATATTTTTTTCAGACAGTCTCGTTCCCTCACCCAACCTGGAGTACAGTGGCCACAAACACAGCTCACTGCAGCCTTGACCTTCTGGATTCAAGCAATCTTCCTGCGTCAGCCTCCCAAGTAGCTGGGACTAGAGGCCCACTCCATCATGCCCAGCTAATTTTTAAATTTTTTGTAGAAATGGGGTCTCGCTATATTGCCTAGGCTGGTCTCAAACTCCAGGGCTCAAGTTTCCTCTTGCCTTGGCTTCCCAAAGCTCTGGGATTACAGGTATGAGCCACCACACCTGGCCAATAAAATAAATTTTACCTGAGAATACTAAAGTAGTGAATATGTATGGTTTGTCTGTTAATTTTCCATGAAGAGCACACTGATTAGACTTCTTCGTAGTATAGGTATTTTTTGACAACGAAACAATCCAAAAAAACCAAAAATAGGCCTTCACTTTTGAAAAACTACATACAAATGGGGGATAGTTTTCACTCAAGATCAATGATGCCAGTTTAAAATAAATGTAGGCTGGGCATGGTGGCTCATGTCTGTAATCCCAGCACTTTGGGAGGCCAACAAGGGCAGATCACTTGAGGTCAGGACATTAAGACCAGCCTGGCCAGCCTGGTGAAACCCCATCTCTACTAAAAATACAAAAAAATTAGCTGGGCGTGGTGGCACATGCTTGTAGGCCCAGCTTCAGCGGTGGCTCATGCCTGTAATCCCAGCACTTTGGGAGGCAAAGGCAGGAGAATGGCTTGAAGCTGAGAGGTGGAGGTTGCAGTGAGCAGAGACTGCACCACTGCCCTTCAGCCTGGGCAACAGAGCAAGACTCCATCTCAATAAATAAATAAATAAATAAAATGCAAATGTGCATATGTTACATGAAAAATTCACGTGGTTTGATTTTGGAGTAAATTTTTATTTATTTATTTATTCTTGAGATAGGGTCTCACTGTCACTCAGTCTGGAGTAAATGCAGTGGCACCATCACGGCTCACTGCAACTGCCACCTCCAGGGCTCAAGATCCTCCCATCTCAGCCTCCCAAGCAGCTGGGCCTACAGGTGTGTGGCAACACACCTGGCTAATTTTTGTATTGTTTTTTGTAGAGATGGGGTTTCACCATGTTACCCACACTGGTCTCAAAATCCTGAGCTTGAGCAATCTGCCCACCTTGGCCTCCCAAAGTGCTGGGATTACAGGTGTGAGCCACTGTGTCTGGCTGACTTTGGAGTAAATTAAGGAAGCCTATATTCTTATCATCTTTGATATGAAATAGCTGATTGTTCTTATTTTGCAAAATAAAGGAGTCATTACGGTTACTATCAGATAAAACTTACAGAGGGCCAGATTTGGTGGCTCATGCCTGTAATCCAGCATTTTGAGAGGCAGAGGTGGGTGGATCGCTTGAGGTCAGGAGTTTGAGACCAGCCTGGCCAACATGGTACACCTCATCTCTACTAATACAAAAATTAGCCAGGCGTGGTGGTTCATGCCTGTAATCCCAGCTACTAGGGAGGCTGAGGCAGGAGAATCACTTGAGCCTGAGAGGCCAATGCTGCAGTGAGACAAGATCGAACCACTGCACTCCAGCCAGTAGTGTGATCTTGTCTCACTGTAACACTGGCCTCATTGCACCACTGAACTCCAGCCTGGGCGACAGAGTGAGATTCCATCTCAAACAAACAAACATCTGCCAATGGGCCAGACACAGTAGCTCGCGCCTGTTATCCCAGCACTTTGGGAGGCAGGGCAGATCACCTGAGATCAGGAGTTTGAGACCAGCCTGGCCAACAAGGTAAAACCCCATCTCTACTAAAAATACAAAAGTTAGCCGGGTATGGTGGCACCTTCCTATAATCCCAGATATTCGGGAGGCTGAGGCACAAGAATCGCTTAAACCCAGGAGGTAGATAGAGGTTGCAGTGAGCCAAGATCATGCCACTGTACTCTAGCCTGGGCAACAGAGTGAGACTGTCTCA